ATTCACCAGTGAAACAACAATGTAGGGTCAAGATTAGGAGTCTACTCGGCTTCTAATAGGTGTCTAACCTTGAGGAGGGGGTGTTGGAAGTTCTGATTGACAGGCACATTAGCTCTGGCTTACTGGACTACTTTACAATTTAGTGTTAGTACTGTGCAACAAGATGTACCATACTGAATATGGCCAAGTGGCAGCCATGCAAATCACTGTCCTGTACCATCACAGCTGCCAGACCAGTTAAAGGTAGATCTGCACCCCTATAAATATTTTTTACAGGATGTGATGTCAAGTATGGCAATTTAATATAAAAAATAATCAGCAGGAATGGTAGGAATATTATAAAATACTTGTGATATTATGCTTATCATTTAATGAGGAATATAATCTATTGAAATATATTCTTATCAGCTGATAACTAGCTTCTTATCATGACTGCCCTAAATGCATTTCTGGTTTGAAGGAAGTACCTATTATTTCAATGATAAATACCTCACTTAATTTCTATATTCTGCATTATGCCATTTCCATATATTGTCTATAAGAAGTTTACACATCAAAGAAAATTCAAGAAAGAATGGTATTTAAAAATTTTACATATGTAAAATCAAAATGAAAGAAAACATCCTCACTATTTGAAATAGTATCTTGTACACTTTACTGTTATGTAAATGAATTTATGCATTTAATAATAATACAAGAACAACACCTACTATAATCTGTCAAATAATGAGTGTGTGCCTGTGATCTGAGGATAATTGAAAAATAGTTAATAATGTAATGCTTATGTTACTCTCAGATCATGCTTCAAGTCTTATATAAAAGTTCTATGTTTCACTGAACTACAGTGCAAATCATGATAACCATCTAAAAATATATATATCTTTTTTTTCAGGAGTTGATCCAAATCAGATGAATCATGATGGGCTGACAGCACTACATCAAGCATGCATTGATGGGTCACTTGAGATGGTAAACCTACTCCTGAAAGCGGGTGCTAATGTTAATATAGTTGACAGGGACTTATGGACACCTCTCCATGCTGCTGCTACTTGTGGACATTTCAAAATTGTGACAACACTTATCAGAGCTGGTGCAAATCTGATAGCTATCAATGGTGATGGAGACCTACCATACGACATAACAGAAGATGAGGTGACTCAACATTACCTAGAGAATGAAATGACCAAAAGAGGTATCACCCAGGAGTTCATCAATCTGGCTCGCCAGGCTTCCCATGATAAAATGAAGGATGACATAGAATATCTCATTGAGAATGATGGTGATATCAACCAGCCTCTGGATCAAGGGGGTACACTGCTACATATAGCCATAGCAAATTGTTTTACTGATTTAATGGAAATTTTGCTTGAAAATGGGGCAGATGTTACAGCACGTGATGAAGATGGCTGGGAACCTATACACGTAGCAGCTTACTGGTGCAATGAAAATGCAATGGAAGCTTTGGCTGAAAAAGGGGCAAATCTACGGTCTCTGACTGATAATGGAGAAGTGCCCTATGATCTTTGTGATGATCCAAATTTGAAGATTCACTTCCTTCATATGATCAATGAAAGACCAGAATATAAATTTAAAGGAGATACAGAGGATGATGTACCTCTGAAGGAGGACACAAATGAAACCTTATATGGAGAAAATGATATAAAAATAGAAGATGCTGTCCAAGAGTCACAGCAAAAGAACGAAGGTCTTTATTCTGAACATTTTATAACAGAGCCAGAGGACACTGCTGGAAAGAGATCTTCTGAAGAAGTGCCTTTAAATCCCTTGCTAAATCTCCAAGCAACAGAACTATCTGAGCGCAGAAATTCAGTCAAGGAGGCCAAACATAGGGCACCACTGAAGAGAATGAACAGCATTGAGATTGGCAACATGGGAAAAATTTCGCCCTATGCAACTAAAACTGGATTAGAAATTTCTGACCATGATAAGGACATCATACATGGTGAAAAGACACTAGAAAGAAACAGTCGTTATCAAAATTCAACCCTTGGGGCACAAAACACTGAAGATCAAAATACCATAAAGGAGATTTTGGATCAAAAACTTACGAACAAAAAATCACTTGAAAATTCTCAGTCTGACAAAGAAAATGCCATTCCAAGCCAAGATAACAACATTAGTCCAGTACTCAGCAAGAACATAAATGAAGCTTCAGAGACAACACAATCAGCCAACTCCCAGGAGGAGAGTGACCAGCCTGCTGCATCCACAAAGCTCATCCACATTCCCCGCAAGAAAAAGCCAGCACCTCCTCCTCCCCAGGGATCACTGCTGTATCTGAAGAGGCAACGGCAAGAAGCTCGTGAACTTCAGCTTGGGATGCTGAATGAGAGAAATGTAATTTTGCCTCCCACAACGCAGGGCTCTCATGCTTCTTACATCTATAACCCACCTCCGAGCCCAACGATGATACGTTACCATTACAAAATGACTTTGGATGAGGTCACCCATGTTGATTTCATAAAAGAGAAAAAATGCT